GACGGGATCCATTTCTCCTGTGTCTTCGTGTCTTTGAATAAGGTTTGCTTGTTTCCCCTTAAGAGGCTTTGCACATCTTTTGTCATTTATTTTTTATAAATGATGTCTTTAGTGACATTTTAAACTGCTTGATCGTGGTGCATAGAGATGTAATTGGCTTTCACATAGTAATGCTGTATCTTACAACACTGTGACATGCCTGGCTTTTACCTGTGGTGGGATTCAGTCGGTTCCCACTGGTCCGGCAAAAATGATACCCAATTTTTTGTTGAGTTCGGCAAACCGGTTGTTAAAATGGCGCTTATAATCTGGGTTTTCTCTTAAGGTGGAAATCACAAGTTTACATCAAATACTTTTTTTTAATGTGTGGATGTCTCTTTTATTGTTCTTATTTAAGTATTAACTGTATGAAATAAGAAACTACCTTTCAGTAGATCTTTTTTTTTCTTTTAATGCTTAACATGATCATTAGGGCAGCAAACCAGCTGTTAAATGCTGTGAATCCCATCACTGGGGTTTACCAATACCTTTGTAGATGCACTATGTGGGTACTTAGCTTATCTGTAAAGGGCAGTGTTAACTCTCCTTCTTAAAACCTCACACCTTTAATGCCTTTGAGGGAGCTCCTGTGTTAGGGTCTATGCCCTGGCCCAGCTGCAGTCGGTTGGTGGAGGTGAGTGGGTTTGGTTCTCCCCGAGCACAGACGGCCTTGGTGGCCGGGTGCTGGGCTGTGCTGAGAGGCTGGTGGCAGGTGCTGGGACAGGTGCTGAGGAAACAAACAGAGCCCGAGGGGCTCCATGGCTAGCCAGCGCCAGAACTACCTGGAAGCCCAGACCTGCCTCTGGGCAGAACCCCGGCCACACCCTCTGCCAATATGCTGGGTATTATCCCGGGGCTGCTGTTCAGCACAGACGGCTAACTGACATAAGACTGGAAGATGGGGTTGGAAGACACACCAAGTTTGCCAGTCACCATGGAGATGGCAGGGACGGGAGCGGGCAGTGTTTGAGACACCAGTAGCCACCATCAGCACCGGGCAGCCCCTCTTTAGGTCAGAGAGGCTTAGATTTCAAGGCAGGACCTTTGTCATCATCATTATAAGGAAGGCTCTTCATTCATTCATTCATTCATTCAGTCAGTCAGTCAGTTAGCATTACTGCCAGTCACTGTGTCAAGAGCTGCGCCGGAGAAGGAGGACCTTGGTCCCAAAGGCCAAGCAGAGTTGTTGGGTGAAGATAGGCCTGGTAGCTAACCTCTAGGAAGGTGTGTGGAGAGCAAGATGCCTTCAGGACCCTGGTAACCATGGTCTGTCTCACCTTGGAGAACAGCTAGAAATCACCTTGAAGGGACTGTGACTGGGGTGGATCCTAGAGCCACACACGGCTGAAGGACAGCCTTCCTGGGTTGGACCCAAGGCTGCCATGTTGCTCCTGGCTGGGCACCCTTCCCGGGGACACAGGACCAACAGGCAAGGTAAGCCAAGGCGTACTTGCACCTGCTTACTAATCTGCAGTGAACCAGTTCACATGGGTGTCACCACATCCCAACTCCTATCAACTCTACAGGACAGAGCAGAACTGCCCCCGTGGGCTTCCAAGACTGTAACTCTTCATGGGAGTAGAAAGCTCCCGTGGAGCGGCTGATGACCCCGCCTGCAGTCGGCAGACCAACGCACAATCCAATCCACCGTCAGGACTTCTCACTGCGACCGATTGTTGCTGTTTGTTAGGTGCCAGCTCACAGCGATCCTGTGTGAACAAAGCACTGCCCAGTCCCGTGTCGTCCTTACAATTGTGCCTGTCGGATTCCGCTGTTGTAGCTGTTGGGGCAATTCATATTGCCAAGGGGCCTCCTCTTGTAAAACAGATCATTTTACTGGGGGGCTCTTACAGCTCTTATCACCATCTGTATTAGTCTGGGTACTTTGGAGAAACAAATCCACGGCGACTCACGTATAAGAGAGAGTTTTATGTAAAGAAAAGGTGCATCACGAAAACATCCCAACCCAATGCTGCCCAAGCCCACAAGTCCAACATGAACCCATTAACCCAACACCAGTCCAC